TCGGCCTCCTGGCGGCCTGGAAAGCGGCGGTTCCTGACTCTGCTCACCCGCTCTGCGCCTGTCTCACCGATCTTTCTCTCACAGTCTTTCTCTGCGTCGGCGCCGCCCGCTTCGCTGCCGCGCCCCGCGCCCGCCTCCCCGGCGGCCTCGCGCAGCGGCGCGGGGGCATCCGCTGCCGCAGCAAGCTGCGCACTCTGCGCCAGGGTGAGCTGCTTCTGATCAGGCAAGTCTGGATGCACCGGGATGGTCGGCGGACCACGGGGCAGCAGCTGGCGCGGCGGGCTCCTGCTTGACGTTCGGCTGCAGCCCGGGCGCGGGCGCATCCGCTGCTGGCCCAGGGCGCTCCTCCTCTGCGGCGGGCTGGGGCTGCGGCGGGGTTGCGGCGGGCCGCCGCAAGACCCGCAACTCGGGGGCAGCGCGCGTCGCCCTGGCTGCCGCGGCCGCGGGCGGCGCAAGCCCACCTGAAGGCCCAGCGTCGCGCCCCTGGCTGGCCGCGGCTGCTGCCCCCGCAGCGGACGAGGCGCGCTGCTTCGGGGCCGCCGCCTTCTGCCCGCTTGCAGGATGCGGGCCGCGCCCCTCGCCCTCGTCGATCGAGTCGGCGCCCTCGCCGTCGGCGTCTTCACCGCCCTCGTGCTCCGCGGCCGCCCGCCCGACACTTTTCTTCCAGCGCTCGGAAGCCACCTCCACCGACTCCACGGGCAGCTCCTGGGCGGTGGGCCCACCCACGGGCGCGCCGCAAAAGGCGATAATCATGTTCTCTATCTGCGCGGCCTGCTCCCCAGGCGGCTCGATGACGCAGTTCCCATTGGCCGTGGACCCGGTGCGCGCGCTCACTGCCGCGACACACTTCTCGCACTTGGCCTGGGCGTCGCTCTTCCGCACGGCGTTCGTGATCTTCTTGCGCTGGCGGTTTGCCCGTGGGAACGCGTTGCTCGGGCAGTACACGCGCCCGCCCCTCGCCAGGAAAAAGCATAGCCCAGCCGTTTTCATGTGGGGGGGGGACGGCCGCAAGAGGGGCCTGGCATCGCTCTTCCAGTCTGACCCCTCCAAAGGCGGCAGCTGGCAGTAGCGGACGGTCGACTCCCACATGCCGTCCGTGAAGTTGCGGCCGAGTCCCCCATGCGTCTTGACAGTTCTGTGGCGCTTGATCTCCACGTAGATCTTGCCATCGGTGCGTGCCTGCAAGACCTCCGCCTCGAAGAGGCCTCCAGCTTGCCGCTCCGACCGAAGGTGCCAGGGATGACCACCGCCCAGGCCATGGCGATGGAGGCCACGCGCTGTAAAAAGGGCGGCATGCTGTCGGCGTCCCTGTATATGGACCAAACGGCGTGCAGGTCGCACATGGCATCGGTCAGCGTCCGCTTGGCCGTATCCAGGTCCATGTAGTTCTTCCTCCGCGAGCCGTCCAGATCCCTGCGGCCCTGCGCCTCTTTCCTGTATGCGTTGCAGGCCTTCAAGCGTGTCGGTGACGATCGTGCTCGTGAGTTGCGAAATCGCTTTCCGCGCGGGGCCGTGGCCGTCGGCCGCGCACTGGGCGTTGGGGAAGGCCAGATGCTTGAGGGCCGACATGATCTTCAGCGTCCAGGCGCACTGAGGCTGCAGGACGGGCAGCAGGGCGAGCTCGGCCAGCGCGCCGCGGTCGTGAAGCGCCTGGAGGGCGCCAGCTGCTTCCTCCGACGTCATGCGCAGCCCCGCCTCCTTCAGCCCAGTGGGCTGCGCGGGCTGCGTCTCCCACCCGAGCAGCTGAAAAAGGCATCGGGGCCCCATGCTGGCGTCATCGTCGAAGGACGTCTCCTCCGCCTCCGCCTCCGCCTCCGGCATGTACGCCGCGAACGGCGGCCGGGCCTTCAGGGAGAACACGGGCGCCTCCTAGGATCAAGTAGAAGGCGATGATGAGGGAGGGGGGGAGGGAGGGAGGGGGGAGAAGGGGGAAGGCACCATACCAGGGGGACACACCAACCAGCACACCAGACCAAAAACGCACGCTAGAGAAACAGCATAAACGAGCCACGCCCAGCAAACGACGGCGACGGGAGAGATCGCCCGTGCGGAAGGGGTGTAGGTGACACAATTTCACACCACCAAGCTCCCACGGCGCAGTAATCTACGCCATACAAGTCATACAAGTCGGCCGCGTAGCCAGCCACGCGCAACTGATACAAATCTCCAGCAGTTCGTACAAGTCTCACGACCCCACTGCCACTTTGAATTCTCATGCAGTACAAATCCTTGGGAATCTCATGCAGCTCGCACAACTCTCACGAAGCCACTGCATCCTATGGATTCTCAGATCGCGCAAGGAGTCCACATGCAGTATTGAATTCTCATGCAGTTCTCCAGCCTCTGAGGCGCTCAGCGGCCAGGCGCGGCCGCCGCTGCTGCGCCCGGCGCCTCCGCCCCACCCGCCGGGCCAGGCGGCACGGCCGCCGGCGCCGCAAGTGGAGCCTCGGCCTCCACGCCCTCGTCCGCACCACCACCTTCGGCCGCAGCGGGGCGCGCCAGCACGCGGCCAGACGGCCTGGGACGACTCAGCGCCGCCGCCTGCACCACTCCACCCCGGCCGCCCGCGGCGCCCTTGCCGCCCTTGCCGCCCTTCTTGCCTTTGGGGGGGCCCTTCGAGCCCTTGCCCTTGCTCTTGCCTTTGCCGCCGCTCTTGCCGCCCGCGCCTCCCTTGCCGCGCTTGCCGCCCTTCCCCTTGTTCTCCGGGCGCTCGAGGTAGAGCAGCACCCTGGGGCGCTCGGGCTCCCCTGGGCTCCGGGTCTGCTGACCCCGCACCACCAGCCCTGACGCCCGACGCATCAGGGCGTCGAGTGGCCGCAAGGCACTCTCCACCAGCAAAGACTCGGTGCCGAAGGTCATCGTGGTGACGAACGTGCCAGGAATTCTCTCCCAGTTGGCCCCGTCCTCGCTCCACTTGCTCTGATCCCAGACCCCCGTCACTAGGCCGGGCGTGGCAAGGACGCGCCAGAGGCTGCGCAGGGCGCTGGCGCTCTCGCTCTCCTCAACGCCGCCCATGGGCTCATCCAACGGCCACGCAACCCCGAGGTGGCGCGCGGCCTCAGAGCACACCGCCTCAGGCCAGCCCTCGCGAAGCTCCCTCCGAAGCTGCTGACCATGCTTGTTCATATAGAACTGGTCGGCCACCGCGAAGCCTTCACAGACCAGCACAGTCGAGCGGAGGACAACCTTGAGGCCGGACTCGCGACGCGCCGACGCCCGCTCAAGGCGGTCCAAGCGCTCTTCGTGAGACGCGAGCGACTGGTCGACCTGGGCCCTGCGAGCGGCAGCCATCGCGATGGCAGGCCGGGGGTGGGCAAGCGCGCCTGTTGTCTTTGAGGCTGCGGCGACGAGCAGAGCAATGAGGCAATGGGACAAAGATTTCGCATCATGGACAGACACGTGCGCACACAATGTGCATGGCGGTCGGCAATGGGAGGGGCAGGGCCGGGGGGGGAGCAAGGAGGAGAGGGGGGGCGAGCGGGAGGGAGACAGAGCGTGCAAAGCAGGAGTACCGACCACCACCACCGAGGGGTACACGAGGGAGGACACAGGAGAATAACACACACACACACACACACACACACACACACACACCACCACGGCTTCCGCAGATCACACACTCACACCATGCAACTGCCCTGGCTGCGAGGGCGCGGGGGCGGCGTGACCTGCGTCAGTAGGCGCAGGTCTGGCACATGACGGAACAGTAGAACCGTCTTGCCGCCCCCGCGACGTCACGTAGGATCGCCGCCTGGCACAATGGGTGCAGCCACACGAAACACAGACTGCTGCGGGAAACCGTTGACCACCCGAGGGAAGGAGGAAGAACACCGCCAGCTTTCGATCCAACACCCGGCAAAGAGACGCGGCGTCGAGGGAAGGCCCCCGGGGGGACCACCGCCAGCTTTCGATGTAACGCCCGGCAAAAAACGCCGACCTTCGATCCAGAAGTCGTCCATGCTTCAGACAACTTACTCCCAAGCACAACACAGACCTTCCCCCTAATGATGAAAGTCCACCTCCCCCCCCCTTCCTCATACTCCCTCACCGCATTACGTGTGAATTTCACATCAGAAAACAAAGCGAAATCCCATTTCCTACCATTGAGCAGTGAGAGGACAGCACCAATCTTGATGGCAGGGCTCTCGTTGCCACGTTCTGTCCCCAGCTTCCGCGTGTTCCAGGTTTCACCTCGGAAAAACCATGCTGCGTGCGCCTTTCGGAGACGTCCCTCCCGCCGTAGCATGGCAAGTTTATGCATGGCACGGCACTGCATAGCACGGGAAGCCTTCTTATTCTTGATCCGCTTGTGAGCCCGGATCCTCGCAACACGTCGCTGGCACCGAGTTGTACCTGAAGGAAACGTAGGGCCATCTTCAGACACAGTCGCCGAGACGCCTGTCAATGTGAGCACCGACACCGACGCGCGTTGGCCAGACGAGTCGTCGGTCTGCCCCCCAGGACCCGCGACTGGCACCGCCGCCCCAGCCGGAGCCGAAGCCCCCACGGAGGAAAGAGCCGAAGCCCCAACCGCCTCCGCGGCGTGATTGTCCAAGAGAGGGTGTGCAATCCTGCCCCCCCACCTACCAGACGGCACAGGGGATGACCGGCCCGAACACATCCAAGAGAACCCAGCCACGGCGGCAATCGACCATACCCCTCCAGAAGCTCCCACTGGGGCACCCCTAAAGGGGTTAGGGTTGGCCTCATCCATGGCCCCAACCACCCAGAACAAGCGAAAGAGCACATTAACAAAGACACCTAGCGATGGGTTGGGTAGAACACACACCCGATAACACAGAACAAGAACACAGACAAGCAGAGGTGGGGAGGATGAGTTTACCGACGAGCGGCCACGTGGAGGCCTGTGCACCTGCCCGTCGACGCACGTCTCCTTCACCCTTCGGGGAACCATGTACTTCTTGAACCCAACGACTTCCACCGTCGGAAGGTCCTTGGAACGGCCACGGCGTGCGACTCTTCTTGGCAGGCGCCGCCTCCTACACGAAGCTCGCGACGTGCACCGTCGCGACGTGGACGGCGCAGCCGCCCTGCTGTAGCTCCTTTATCTCATGGAGCAGGGTGCGGTTAGTTGGCGGCGGCGCCAAAGCGCTGCTCGCTGGGCCTGCGCCAGCCGACTCTCGAAGCTCGCGACGGAGCACCCTCGCGTACTCGAAGAGCCTGCGGCGAGTATCCATATCATCGGCGGCGTCAAGGGCAGGGTTGGCCTTCGCGGCCAGCGACACCGCACGCCAGGAGGTCTTGGGTCGCGCCGTCGGCCTGCTGCCTGGCTGCGGGCACGGCAGCGCCCAGGACGGCTGGCTCTGTGGGCGATGCGGCCGGCGATAGCGACGGGGCTGCGCCCGCCGAGGACGGCGCGGACGCTGGGCGCGCCTTCGAAGAGGCTGCCAGAGAGGCTGTGGCCGACGGGGGAAGCGCGGCGGAGGGCTTCGCCACCAGCTTCGCCGTGAGAACGTCGGACACCTCGCCCGCCTCGGACGCGGCGCGCAGCGGCGCTGTGCCAGAGTGCGCGCGCACCGCGGCGGGGTCGGTGCCACGGGCGGCCTGCCTGCGCTCCTCGGCATGATGCCTGGCTGCGCTCGAACTGGCAGCGCCCGCCGCGCTCGCGCGCCCCTGCACCCGCTGCGTCGGCGCTGGGGCACCCGCCTGGATAGGTGCCGCTGGGTCGTGGACGTGGCAGGGGCAATCCGCGACGAGCACAACCAGTGCGCTCGCACGGTCGTCGCCGATATTGCCGACGAGATCGAAGCGCGGGCCCCACCCCTTCGCCGTGGGCGCCGCCCCCAGCTGACTGGTGACCCCCTCCATTGCCGAGGCCTCATCCGCGGACGTCCCTCACGCGGCCGACTTCGAAATAAGTGCAGGAGCCGTGCCCTGACTCGATCAGGCGCTCGTCGAGGCGATAAAACTTCTCTGACAGCACCATGGACCTGAGCGCCCCGGGATCGCTGCCATCGGCGGCCGCCCCCCGCGCCTTCACAACGGCGACGGCCTCGCTCGTGCCAGACCCGAAGACGACCACGAGGTCCCTGCCGCGCCGGCGCTTGAAGCGCCCCAGAGCCGCGGAGCTCTCCATCATCTTTTTGGAATTAGCCTGGTCGGTGGCTTACGCCACATCCAGCCACAGCGCGAAGACCTCACGCAGAGAAGTTTCCGCCAGAAGGGAGGCCCAGGCCAAGTGTCGCAACGCCCCCCCCCCCCGCTCCCGAGCGCCAGCGCCAGCAGAGCACTGCGATGCTCTGCTGGCGCGCCTGGCCACCATGGTCTCTTCGACAATTGCGACGCTCGGCTGGGAGACCTCGATGGCGCAACCGTCTCTGCCCAAGCGCCTGGCGCAGCGGCGCACCGGCGCGCCCTCGGCCTCGGCGGGCCTTCCCTCCGCGTGATCTGCGGCCCCTCCGACCGCCTGCGCGCAAACTGCGTGCGCCGATCCCCCCGCCGTCCCAGCCTTCGGCGCAGCCGCGTCCTCCGCCACAGCTGCGACTATCGCCCGCGGTGCCGCCTTGGCCGCTGTGGAGGCTGTGGCTCTGCCAGCGGAGCGCTTCGCGACAGCCCCCCTGGCCTCGCGAGCCCCGTTCTCGGCTTTCTTCTCGATGCGCACCGCGTCCCCGAAGAAGAGGCCGTCAAAGTCTGATACCTTCGCGCCTGGGTGTTCGGCACTGGTGTGTCGCATGAGGCCCAGGCCCGACTCCCGCTCGCAGGGGCACTCTGGGCAGGGGGCACCCTCGGCTGCCGCTGCGGCCGCGGAGCCAGCAGCCCCTGCGCCCTCCTCTGGCTGCTGGGGCGAAAGCGTTACCTCAACCGCCGCGCCCTCCGCCATCGTCGCGGCCTCGGCTGAGACCGCTACGTTGGCTGCGGCCGCCGCGCTGCCAGCAGCACGCCTGGCCCGCTGACCACGAGTGACCTCTGCAATCTCCTGCCGCACCGCCTCACAGAAAAACGTACCTTCGAAGTAGCTCAGTTTGGCGCCGGGGTGATCCTGACAGATGTGCTGCGCTAGCGTCCGGTAGGGGGCAGTCGGAAAAGAAACACGAATGTGGCGGGCCGCTGCTCTCGTCGAAAGGAGGCGTCGGGGCAGCCGCGCCAGATACGTTCCCGCCAGCCCCGCCGCGCCCAGCCTCGCCGCGGCCGCGGCCGCCGCGCCCCCCGCCGAACAGGCGGCCAGTCAAAGACAGGGTGGCGCCACCCGTACTGCTGCTATTCATCAGCGCCAGCTCGTCCACCAGCTGCCTCCCCTGAAAGATCAGGCGCTGCTGGTCGTCGGGAATACCCTCCAGGGGGCGGGGTCGCGAAAACAGAGGACTGCACCAGGGCAGGCGGAAAGGCGTGGAGCTCCAACTCGCCCACCCCTGCCATCGCTAACCGAGCTGGGCCTGATCAAGGCTCTCGTGGGCAGAGAGCGGCCCCAGCTCGGCCCGCGACGGCACGGGGCAGAGATGTTGAGCCCATGCCTCCCCTGGCGGCGGCGTTCGCGAGCTCGTCCTCAATTGCGTGGGTCCGCGGCTGGGCGCAGCAGATGGAGTCGCTGTGCAACACGTCTAGCGCCATCGTCTCCCCACCGACGTCCTTGACGAAGACTTGGACGGGCGGCGACGCAGCTGGGGCGAAGTCTGCGGGGTCGCCGGCGCCAGTGTCCTTGCAGGGAGGGGCGGGCGGAGGAGTGGATAATACGAAGGGGGGGGGCGAGACTGCCACCCTGGAGTGAGAGGGGTGCCAGAAGGGGGAGATGGAAAAGAAGGAGTGGGCAGGAGGAGGCAAAGGACGAGGTGCAGGCATTGGGGACCGCCGCCCTAAGGAAGGGAAGGGGGATGAGAACGGTAAGGCGGACGGGAAGGAGAAGGGGCAGGCTGGGGAGGGGAGGGGAGCGAGAAGGGCGGTGGAAGATGACGGGAGAGAGGGGGGGGGGCCTCAATGGGTAAATTTTGGACCCCTGTGTGGGTAGTCTGCGGGCAGCGTCGGGAAGGCGCGCCCGCTCCCGCCGCCACCAGGCCACTGCGCCCCCGCGCTGCGACGTGCTGCGCGCCGCGCTCCTGGAGGTCAGGAGGAGGTCGGCCCCCACGCAGCTCGCGCCAGTAGCGTCGGTCCCCGCGTCGACCATCGCACCGCCCTGAACAGGAGGGAATTGCAAGGTGCTGTCTGGGAGGTGTCGGGAAAAGTATAAGAAGGGTATAAACTGTAACGGAGTGGATCGAGGCTGGGCGGGGCTGTAGAGCCAGAGCATAGAGCTTGAGAGGGGGGGGGGCGGAGGAGCGGGGACGGGCGGGGGGGGGGGGGGGGGGCGAAGGATATGGGAGCGGGGGAGAAAGGGGAGGGTGCGCCTGCGTACCCCCCTGGGAGGAGGAGAAGAAGGGGAGTCCTCGAACGCGTGCAGGGAGAGTTCGCGCACGAGGTCGTCGCACACGTCCACTTCGCCAACGGCGGCGACAATCTCCGCCACTGGCTTCGACTCGTCAGAGTAGAGCGAGTAGAATCGCCGGAGGGGGGCAGGCATCATGGCGAAAGGAAAATGAAACTGAAATGGTTCGAGAGTCGAGCAAGCCCAGATGCGTACGCGAGGCAAGACGGACAGGGCGAGCAAGGGCGGAGGAGGCGGCGGGGGGGGAGTTGAGGAGGGCGGGAGGGGGGGCGGAGAAGTGTGGGCGGGGCGCGGCGGAGTGCGGAGACGGGCGAGACAATGCTGAGCAGGGCTGGGGGGTTGGGGGGGAGCGGGCGAAGGCAAGGGCAAGGGTGCGGGCGCGGGCAAGGGCGGCCTCGCGAGCGCTCTGCGCCTCGTACGTCGGTAGTCGGAGTAGGAGTCGCGCTTGCCAGCTCAGGCGAGTCAGACCTGGCATTAACATGCACGCTGCCCCTTCCCACAACAGGCGAAACAGTGCCGACACAACTAGGAACCGATTTCAACGCAGAAGGGTCCCCCGCGAATGCGTCTGCCAACGAACGCCCCCACGCAGTTAGCCCGAACAGAAACTCCAGGCACGTGCGGGCGGGGTCGTCCAAGGAGAGACCCAGGTCTCGGCAATGATGCCAGGTTGCCTTGGTCGGGAACGGTGGTGACAAGCAAAGGCTGAGAGCAACGACGGGGCGGAAGAGTCGTCGAGGAGGCGAGGGGGCGAGGCTGATGCTGAGACTGACGCTGGTGCTAGGGTTGAGGCCTCGGCTGAGGCTGAGACAGATGCCACTGCTGCTCCCCACGCCCTCCTGATCCACCCCTTACTCCCCAGCACAGGCTGAGGATGTCTCCGTCGAGAAAAAAACCCAGCGATTGCACTGCGGACTGGCGCCCAGCGCCGAGGCTCGAGCATTCACACGCTCTCTGAGCGCGAGCGCCAGAAGGGTGCATTCTGCTAGGCGGCCCACGTCTTAACAAGGCCCCTTGCACCTTTGCCGCGTCGGTGCCCGCCGCGACAAACACGCACCGGTACTTTGAAGTAGGGGGGGCGGCGGCGACGACGACGACGACGACGACGACGACGACGACGACGACGACGACGACGACGACGACGACGACGACGACGACGACGACGACGACGACGAGGACGACGACGACGACGACGACGACGACGACGACGACGACGACGGACGACGACGACGACGACGATGACGACGACGGCGACGGACGACGACGCCGACGACGACGACGACGACGACGACTACGACGGACGACGACGACGACGACGACACGACGACGGCGGCGGCGACGACGACGACGTGACGACGACGACGACGATGACGACGACGACGACACGACGACGCCGGCGGCGGCGACGACGACGACGACGACGACGACGACCGACGACAACAACGACGACGACGACGACGACGACGACGACGACGACAGGGAACAAGACGACGACGACGACGACGACGACGACCACCACGACGACCACGACCACGACGACGACGACGACGACGACGACGACGACGACGACGACGACGACGACGACGACGAAACAGACGCCGACGACGAAACAGACGCCGACGACGACGACGACGACGACGACGACGACGACGACGACGACGACGACGACGACGACGAGGACAACGACGACCGACGACAGACGACAGACGACAGACGACAGACGGCTGACGACAGACGACTGACAACATCGACGACGACAGGAAGACGACGACGACGAAACAGACGCCGCCGACGACGACGACGACGACGACGACGACGACACTGCAATATAAAAATTACAAAGAAAAAAAAAAACAAAAAAAACAAAACAAAAAAAAAAAAAAAAAAAAAAAAAAAAAAAAAAAAAAAAAAAAAAAAAAAAAAAAAAAAAAAAAAAAAAAAAAAAAAAAACTTCCCCCACCTAGGCCCGCCCTCCTCACGGCCACCGTCCACCCCTGCCCGAAGCCGTGCGAGCCTCTCTGCTCTCATACCAAATGTTTCTGTTTACCCCGACGGGGGGGCGCTCACGCCCCGAAAAGAACGCAAAACAAAATTTAAAAACTTGTCTTTATCACCGTTGTGTGGCGCTAGGGCATAAGGGTTTAAGGGCTCCCGCGGGCGCTTCTGTCACCGTGGTCTGGACAAGGGTAGCGAAGTGACATGAACTGGGCAAGGGTAGGCAAGCGGCGCAAGGCAATGTGAAGCAAGAAGGGAAGAGGGACGCGATGGGGGGCAAGGCCAAGCAGGGGGGAGCGATCGGCGCAGGGCGAAGTGGAACAAGCGGGACGCGGGGAAGCGAGTCGGGAAAGGTCGAGCGGATCAGGCGAAAAAGGCGCGAGTGGGGCCGAGGGAGGCGAGTGGGGCACTGCGACATGGAAAGCCAACCGTGGCCTCTCCTCCCGCCGTGGCCGGCCCCCACTACTACTACTACCTATACGACCACCCTTCGGGTGATAAGGAGGTTCGGGGAGGGGGGACCAACGTCTCACTCAATCGGTCTCACTATCGATCTCAGTATCGATCTCACTATCGGTCTCGCTCGATCGATCTCACTTGATCGATCTCACTCGATCTATCTCATTCGATCGATCTCACAATTAATCTCACAATCGATCTCACAATCGATCACACAATCGATCTCACATTCGGTCTCAATATCGATCTCACTATCGATATCACAATCGCTTTCACAATCAACGTCATCATCATCATCATCACCATCATCATCATCAACATCATCATCAACATCAACATCATCACCAACATCATCATCATCATGAGGGCACAGTCATCATCATCATCATCATCATCATCATCATCATCATCATCATCATCATCATCATCATCATCATCATCATCATCATAAACATCATCATCATCATCATCATCATCATCATCATCAACGTCAGCACCATCATCGGGACAACATCATCACCATCACCATCATCATCTCATCATCATCATCATCATCATCATCATCATCATCATCATCATCATCATCATCATCATCGGGGCACAGTCATCGTCATCATCATCAGCAGCATCATCAGAATCATCATCGTAATCGGGACACCATCATGATCACCATCGTTCTCATCATCAACATTATCATCAACATCGTCATTATCCTCGGGACACCATCATCATCATGATCATCGCATCATCATCAACAACATCATCATCATTGGGGCACCAGCATCATCATGAGCAACAGCATCATCAACATCGTCATTATCATTGTCATCATCATCGAGACACCATCAGCATCACCATCATCATCATCATCATCATCAGCATCGTCATCGGGACACCATAATCATCATCAACATCATCATCAACATCATTATCGCCGGTACACCAGTTCCATCAACATCATCATCACCAACATCATCGGAATCATCATCATCATCATCATCGGGACACCATCATCGTCATCATCATCATCAACATAATCATCATGAGCATCATCATCCTCATCATCGGGACACTATCATCATCATCGACATCGACACCATCATCCACATCATCATCTTCATCGGGACACCATCATCATCATCTCATCATCATCATCATCATCATCATCATCATCATCATCATCATC